CTTTATAGAGCAGGGTGGAGTGAAAACTTTGTTCTTCTAGGAAAAGAGGGTATTTTGTGTGCTGTAGAGAGCAGGGAGGTCCTTCTGATGGAGCACAGGAGAGGCTATGGAAGAGAAAAGCCTGAGGTCTGGGGTCCTTGGCCTGGCTCTTACAGCCTGGCTCAGCTCATTTGACCCATGACTTATCCCAACAAGTAATGAGGTTTAAGGCATTGCCAACTCCCCAGTGAATGTACAAACACTTCTTTTGTTCACCTATTTTCCCAATCCTTGTTGAAACTTGTAAAGGAAAACAGAAACCACTGCAACAGCATTACTGCTCTAAGGTTGATCTGCAACAATCCATGAAGCAATACCAAAGGACACACCTTCTGTTGGGAAAAACATACCTGGGGAGGCCACAGCCCCTTCATGGCCCCATTGGCATGAGCAAAAGCTTCAAACTCACTCTCTTTCTCTTTTCAGGCAAAAATGTCAAGGCCAGTGCAAGCTCAGAGGCTGGAGGGACTAGATAAGAATATATGGTGAGTTAAGAAAAAAACCTGGTTTGCCCTGGTGGTAGCTGTGGATTTAGGCAGCTTAAAAGCAGACAGAAACCACAGCAGCCACACAGTACTGAGCAACAGTTTCCCTTGGCTGCTTTGCATGTGTTCAGAAAGCGCATTGGGGCAAGTTTGCCCCAGAAGACTTTACCCTGCCTCAGTTCTGTACCTGCTGCTCACACTTGATGCTGTGTCAGGTGTTTCACACCATCCTGTGGGCAGGGCAGGCAGGAGCATCACACTCCTGCTGACCTATCCACCCAAGTGATCCCAGCAGCACCCAAATCTGAGCAAAGTGGTTGCAGCACACTGACTGCAGCCTGGCATCTGCTTCAAGCCCTCCCTGGGGCACTGCAAGCAGAGAGGCAGTTGTAGAGCTGCTGTGAATGCCATTCCCAGCGTGCCAGGCACAGTGTGGCATTGGGAAAGCTGCATGGTCTTTCCTCAAAGCCCTGCTGGGCCTGGGTTCAAGCTACAAACTGCTCATGAGTTGGTTCTTGTTTGGGACAAGAGGAAAGTTCAACCTGCCTTCATGGTGTCTAGTTGCTAAATTGGTAGGAACTTCTGTTAAGTATTTTTCTCTCCCTTTCTTCTCTCCAGGGTGGAGTTTGTAAAACTTGCTGCTACCTACTCCAAGGTGAACCTGGGCCAGGGCTTCCCTGACTTCCCTGCACCAGAATTCCTGACGGAGGCATTCGTGGGAGCCCTCAGTGGGAAGAACCACATGCTGCACCAGTACACCCGTGCCTTTGTGCGTGGACAGATGTCTCTCCTGGGCAATAACCCCTTGCTCCCCATCAGCCTTGGCTGCTTCAGGGCTCATCAGGCAGCAACACACAGAGCAAAACACGAGGCAAAACACACCCCGCCCCAGCCCCTGCTCCCAGGGCTGTAACTCCCTGCTTTAGCAGGGCATTTGAAGCAGCTGAGCTGGAAGATGCCTCATAGGGCACTTGGCTGCCCAGGCCCCTTCCAAGGGCTCATCCATGCTTTACGAGGTTTCTGCAACAGAATTCTCACCCTCCTCTTACCCAACAGGGCCACCCACCTCTGGTGAAGGTACTAGCCCAGTTTTTTGGGAAGCTGCTTGGACGAGACCTGGATCCTATGACTAATGTGATGGTGACTGTGGGAGCATACCAGGCCCTTTTCTGCTGCTTCCAGGCTTTTGTGGATGAAGGTGATGAGGTAACCCAAGATTTGGGCTTGTTGCACCAGCAGCCTTCCCCCAGGAGTGCCCTTCCTGGCTGTGGGTCTGCCAGCAGCTGCAGGCTGGTTTTCATTTCCAAAGCAGAAACAGTTTTATCCCCATTCTCCAGTTTCTGAGCTTCCAAAGGAAAAAGAATACCTGCTGCAGGGCATAGTCTCACTTTTGCTTTGCCTTGAGTGGTGATGTTCTTCCCTGACACTGCCCACAGGCAGTGCAGATTCTTCATTACAATAATGCAGGGATTAAAATTTCCTGTCTCTTCCAGTGCTCTCTGCACCCATCAGGGAAGGTCTGAGCAGGGCCAGGAAGGTGCTGATATGTCCCTTTCTTCCAGGTGATAATCATTGAGCCTTTCTTTGACTGCTATGAGCCAATGGTGAAGATGGCTGGTGGGACACCTGTGTTTGTCTCGCTGCGACCGGTGAGTGGGTCAGAGCAAAACTGTGGAGGGGGT